AGATTTTTTAGAAATAATTCATTACGGAATCCGCCTGTACTCATCATACTAAAATCGTTTTTCACATAGCAGAGTTGGATCAAAGACCAAATTTCCCCCCGCACTGAGTAGTGGTGGGGAATTTTGCCTAGCCCCGTAATATTTCTGCGCTGTGACAAAAAAAAGGCAGAGAAGGCTTAGGGATCTGCTGAAACCGCGCTCTCTCCTGTCCTGGTACCAGAGGACAAAAATCGCGTGTGTAGTTACTTGATTCCTGAGGGTAAAAGAGGAGTAAAATCCGCACTCACCCAGTGCCGACGGAGGACTCTTTTCCCCAGGTGCCAACGTGCGCCTTTCTTGCAGGTAGAGGCAGTTTCTCCTGGAATCTTAAAAAGGCAAATACAAGATTGTACCCGTGTGACTTTCTCTGACATTAGTGGCAAAGAAGCAAACAAAGAGCACGTTAACGAAACAAGCTAAAATATCTACCGGTTATCTATAACAACTGCTAGACCAGCGAAGAAACTTCTAACTTACCGATTGAAACGAAAGAGCCAGAGGGGGAGGGAGAAGGCCGGGGGAGGAAACACTTTGAGGAAGAGACCAAAACCAAAACAATAAAAAAAGGAAAAAAACCACAACAACAGCAAAAAAAAAAAAAAAAAAAAAAAAAAAAAAAAAAAAAAAAAAAAAAAAAAAAAAAAAAAAAAAAAAAAAAAAAAAAAAAAAAAAAAAAAAAAAAAAAAAAAAAAAAAAAAAAAAAAAAAAAAAAAAAAAAAAAAAAAAAAAAGGAGAGAGAAAATCCTGGCAGTAGGCACACTCAGTTTTGGTGTAACTGGTGCTTTGAAACTGTGCTTCGGTTGCACGGGCGATCTGCTTATCGTGGGGCACAGGGAAACAGTACATTTAGACAGAAGTCTGTCATCTGTATTCATTCATATCACATGGGTCTGCCTGTGGGGAGAAGAGGTAGGGAAGGTTTTCTTGAAGTGCACCTACCCTTCTGGCGGGAAGGCTTGCTGGGATTGCTGGGCAGGTTTCTTCTGGAGGGTCCCATCTCTCTGGAGTAGCTGCAGTGGAGTTGAGGGCAGGTTCTCCGGTGAGGTAGGAATGTGCAGGAACTCCGCCCTCTGGGCACAGTCACACAAACCCAGCAAAACACACAGCCAGCCCTAAAACCTCCATTGATCTTCACCTTCACCTCTTTCTAACCCAGTTCTCCACCACTTTTTGACCCATTTACCCAGATACCTTCACCATTGGGGGGGGGGGGGTATTCAAAACAAGATAATTTCACTGAGTAGAACTGCGGAGGAACTACTGCAGACTCTAGTGCAGTGGATAGACACCTCTGCAGGATTGTCTGTATCTATATGTATGTATACATATTTATTGCCAACCGCTGAATTTTTATTCGTATAATACATATGCGCATATACTTTCTCCGGTGGGTGTGTTATTCGCGATCACACAATTAAGTGCAATAGAGATTATCTACAGGCAGATTGTTTGTTTGTTTGTTTGTTTCTTATCTTAAGGGAAAATATGAACAATTAAAGAATATGGTCACTAATAAAACAACGAGTCTCGATCAATGTTCTTCCTTAAGCAAAACTCTGATGTGGTTCAGTCAAAATGTAACTGGAGTTCAGTGGGAGTTTTGCTTGAGTGAATAGTGAATACATCGTGATTGAGACCTCATATTAACACAAGTGGTGAGGGGGTGTGTACCTGAATCATGATTTCTGACATAAATCTTAATAATCAACAGAAGAAGTTATAAAGAGCAAAATGACGTTCCTGTTAAACTATTTTTTTCAAGTACCAAATTAAAAAAAAAAATCACTCCCTCAAACATTAGTTTTGTGCCATTTAAGGCAAATTATATTTTTGTTAACTTTCTTTTAAAGTCTTTCATAAGAATACATTCCACATAATGGATGCTATTTTACCATAACATAAGAAAAATATCTAAAATATGGCAAAAATTGTTAGGCCAAATATCGCGTTGAGAATTCGAGTTACTGTTTATTATGCCTCAAACATATTTGTGAAGGCAATCTTAAAGCCGTAATTGGATGTTTCTTGATGAGCAGATTTCTTCTCCTACGATCTATGCGAGCAAAGTTAATCACCTCAAACATCAACTAGGAATATAACAATAGCTCTTTAATTCTATAAAGACCGCCCGTCCTCCATAAACACTCTAAATTAGGAAACGCCAAGGAAACGACGCTAGGACACCTCATCATTCTAGAAATGTGCACAATAAAAAAAAAAAAAAATCCGAAATCTTATCTTGAGGATTTGGTGTACAAACCGCTGCGGAAAAAAAGTATCAGATAACAGAAATATTGTATGCTAAAAAACCTAACCAACCAAAAAAAACCCCAATCAAAACCAAAAAAAATCCCCCAAACCCCACAAACAATCCACCCAACAAACAAACAAACAAACCCACACCAAAAAGCCCCCACCACCTCACATTCAGTACCAAACCAGCCTGTGCAAAGATTAACCTAGGAGACATCCTCAGCGAACAAAAGGATTTCTCTGGCTGGAAAGCAGGCAGGGGTAAAGACATATTTGGGGCCTTAGCGGTCCTGCTACCATTCATGACAACTGTAGCAGTTCATTGGTTTTATTTTGGTTTGGTTTTGGTTTTATTTTTTTTCCTTTCCAAAAATAATCTCTTTGCTGGTAATATATTTATGGAAACGTGAATAAATTACCAGCCCAGCAACCACCCCTGTGCCCCACGTAAGAGAGAGGGAAAGTCTGTGGCACCTAAACTTGCTCAGGCAGTACTTTGCTACACAGAGCCTAAAGGAGAGTGCTGAGACCGAGTGCTTGCTTAAGCTAAGTCTGGAGAGACAATATCAAGGCTACCCTTCTGAGGAATTATTATGCATCACACTTTTCTAATTAATGCTTATTAGCCAGCCTCAAACTCTGACATGGCGGGATTGTGCTTTCCTTCAACCTGACTTGTCTTTTCCTCCTTTCAGTACAGTGAAAGCAGATTTTTTTTTTTTTTTTGACGTTGCAAACTAACTAACACTTTACATATGTGCAATAGGATTTCCTACAGTATACAACATTTGCAAGCGGTAAATAATAACTAATTTCCTTTGTCATCTGCAGCTGATGCCCCTTTTTTAATTTGCACAAGTACACAGAATTGGGTCTCCAGCCGTTAAGAGTTTTAATCACACCTATTGCATTTTATTATTTCAAATAGGTTTGTTGCAAAGGAGTTTTGGGTTTTAGTGTTTTTGCATTCCTCGTTTTAATACAGTAGAGTGGAGAATATGGGGGAGGGTAGGAGATTCCAAGTGGTGGTATCATCTCTTCATTCCTCAACAAAGCAATCGTTTCCTCATAGCGATGATTAATTTCAAATTGCAGGAGTGAGAGTGAAAGCCAAGAATATCAGAGATTTCTCTCCTTCTCCCCTACACAGTGCAGAGCTGGGTGTCCCATCTCTCATCTGTAACCTTTCAGTCCTTTCTTTCTTGCAGATCTGCTTGCATCTGTTTATATATTACTTATTTTTTGGAGATTTTCCCTTCCTCCTCTTATTCTTTCAACTTGACAAATATTCTGTTTGTAAGAATTCAGATTTGCTATTGTTTCTTTATTCACCTCCGGGCAATTTTTTTTCTCCTTTTCTTCCTCTTTTCTGTCTTTCCAAAATAAGCTCTTAAAAGTGTTTGCGATAACATCTCCGACCTAGAGATTATTTTTCATTGGGCCTATTGTGAGCAGTCACCGACTTATTGCACTGCTGCAGAGCCCAGTCTAGGCTACAAACGTAACAAATGAACAACTTGTCCTCTGCGGTCTCACCGCGGGATCCAATTAGTTCCTAAACCTTTTACACAAGTTTTTTAATTATTTTCAAGAGTTGTGGCTTTTATAGGCTTCCCTAAACTCTTCAAGAAACCAATTCATTTTAGGATTAAATGCTTCTTAAAATTACTAGCAGCGTTACTCCCTTAAAACTAATGGATTGATTCTCCAGGCAACGCAGCATTCTTATGGACACTGGCGTGGGTTACTGGGCTCAAGCAGGAACTGAGAAAAAAAGAGCTCTGTTTCAAAACTTTGCGTTTAAGTGCATCCATAGAGGTTTGATTTGTTTCCCTTTTTTTCCCTATAACATTTAAACATCGGTATGCAAGGCAGGGTGTCACGTGACTCCCGGCCCCTGCCTCCTTGCCATGGACTGCGACTTCACCTCAGCCTGCTCGGCTCCTGCCCCCTCGGCCTGGCCGCAGGGACAGAGGAAAGAGCTGTCTGTCCAAAAGAACACCGCTACTTTCGCAATAACTAAAGCCGAAGTGTTTGCAGCATCAAAAGTATATAATTACATATAACCTAGATACTTCAGGAACAGTGCTCCTTTAGGATTAGGATTATATTTTATACACATACATATCACAGCTTGCTAAATTTCATCAAACGATCATACGATAGCTAATATGTGTATGTATATACACGCACATACACATCCTTCTGTAATATATCTCGAGTCATCGTAGAGACAAAATTTATTTCTTTCAGGATAATACGTCTTTGAATGCATTTCAGAGATTGCAGGAAGAACATGTACCTATATAATAATGCATTTTGGCTTTTTCCCAATGTGTGCTTATACACTTAAATAGTATACGAATGTATGTATATATACATATGCGATTTTAAGCATCTTCAGCATAAGGCGGTTTCTAAGCAAGACACCCCATCTTGTACTAACAATTTTTAAACAGACTTGATTAGAGTTCTCCCCAAAATGGGCATCACAATTAGTGGCCATGATGTATAATTAAATACTCTGATCTCTTACATTTGAAAATACTGTAGTTAAAGGCAATGGTAGAGAAGGCGGGTGGGGGGGAGGGAAGAGAAAGGAACATGTGAAAAATGGTGGACTGGGTAATAAGCAGCGCTCTGATCTCTCTGTAACTTTCAAGCCTCTGCCACATTAGGGTTAATAAAAGAGACAAAAAACTATCACGTATATATGAATTTAGCCTATTTTTTTATTTCTGTGTGTTCATAGTAAACATTTTTGTAAGTGACAAACACGGGCATATGACCACAGTATCACAATCAAGAAATTTTAAGACGACATTAACAATCACTCAAATTTATGCGGCTTTTGCGCAACACAGGTTACATATTTGCAAGGTTTACCTATAAGTACAATAGGTATTAACATTTCACTACATTTAGAAAAAAAAATAAAGGTGACCTGTTAGTGACCACATACATCAAAATATACACAACACAAACTGAAGGCAATCATTAATTTCGTCCCCTTCTGATTCATTTGAACGGGCAGTGCTGCAAACTGAAATAATGTTGCTGTTTTTTTAAATTACTCCGTATACTGAGTGCATTTTCTAAAACCCAATCTTTGGTCTAAAAGTAAAAAAAAAAAAGAATACCAAAAATGCAGTTCGGTAAAGAAAATAATAAAATAATAAATGGTCAAAAGTAGTTCTTGGGCATCTTTCAGTATTAATTCTGCTTAAATACAAATTACATTTTAAGGGTTTTTAATAGTTTTTGTAAATTTAGTTTGGTTTTGGTTTTTTTTGCTTTCACGGTCTGCACCCACCGACATATCCATGATAACTTACAATACTGCAAACATGGAGAATCGGGCGGCTTTTAGTGATAGACTTATCATACTTGAATAAAGAAATTGCAAAAGCAGTCACTATTTAGATACACATTCTACTATAATTTTGTCTTCCAAACTTCGTAGACTACAATGCAATCTCCCCACATTGCACCTTGCTGACACTCCTCACCTTGGTGGAATAATAAACAACCCTAAAGACTGAACAAACGTACAGAAAAATGGGGGACTTAATAAAAAATACCTGGACTTTTTTGTTTTGCTTTTTTTTTTCTTTTAATTATCATTTACAATGCAAATGTGTGTAAAATGTTCACTTACAGTCTGATCCCATGGATGTTAATGTATTAAAGGGTTTGAAGAAGACCCCTGATTTTGATGTGTGAAATAATCAGAAAGTCCTCCGGAAAGTCCCGTTGTAAAACTTGGCAAAGAAGGTCTTAAGGACTCACAGGGGAGAGTGGAGGGCGCCTGTGGCGACGTGGAGGAGGAGGCTGCCCTGGCCGTCATTGAAGTGCTGCTTTGAGAAGTCATTGAAGGGTGAGGAACATGGGGGAAAAAGTAACTCGTCTGTCCTGCTAGGAGATTTACAGAGCAGGGGTTTAGGGAATAGGTGCCGGAGCAGGGAACTGACAAGCCACACGGCACTGAGGCGGCCAGAGCTGCTGCTGTGAGGTGATGAGTGGCATAAGGTATCTCTCCATTGACTAGTCTATCAACACTTAACCCATTAGACGTGGAAAAGGAGTGGTTGTTTCCCAAGGAGTTTTGAGTCAACACTGAGCTGTAGGGCATGGGGTGGCTGGGATAGGCGGACGTGGTCCCATTGTAACTCAAAGTGCTGCTGGCCCGGGGGTGGTGCAGGGAGAGGAAGGGGGACATAGGCCAGTACAAGGATCCTGCCCTATCCATGAATGTCAGTCCGGTGGAGGTGAGCCGGGCGCCCCGTTTGAAGGCCAGCTTGGCCCGAGAGGTGGTGGAGCGACGGCGAAGCTTGCCAGTGGTACCCCCTATGAAGACGTCGTCGCTGGAGGGGTCCAGCATCCAGTAGTTCCCTTTCCCCGGGTCGTCATAGTGGCGGGGCACCTTGACGAAGCACTTATTGAGGGAGAGGTTGTGGCGAATGGAGTTCTGCCAGCCCTGCTTGTTCTCCCGGTAGTAGGGGAAGTTCTTCATGATGAACTCGTAGATGCCATTGAGTGTGAGGCGCTTCTCGGGGCTCTGCCGGATGGCCATCATGATGAGCGCGTTGTAGCTGAACGGTGGCTTCTCGTACTTGCCGTTCTTCTTCTCCCCCTCCTTCCCGCTCTCCCCGTCCTTGGCCCCCTCCGCTGCCCCCTTCTTCTCGTCCGCCGCCTTCTCCTTCTCCTCCAGCTCCGCCGCCGCCGCCGCGCCCGCCTCGCCTTTGCCCGCCAGCATGTCCGCCTTGGCCACCTCCAGGGCGCCGGAGGCGGTGGCGGCGGGGGGCGGCAGGAGGTGCTGCCCCTTCTCCTCGTCCTCCTCCTCTGCTGCGGCCGCTCGCTGGGGCTGCTGCGGCGGCGGGTGGTGATGGTGGTGATGGTGGTGGTGATGGTGATGGGGGTGGTGGCTGTTGTGGTGGCTGTGGCTGCTGTGGTTGTTGTCGCTCTGGACGGCTTCGGGTACCAGGCTGTTTATGCTAAAGGAGGATTTCGGCAGCATTTTCACTTCCTTCCTATCTCCCATGTCCAACATCACANAAAAAATCTACTTCATGGTGCCCGGTTCCCCCGGCACCGCAGCGCAGGGGGAGGCAGGAAGGCGCAGCAGCCGCGGCGGGCCGGCGCGGAGCGAGGCAGACGGGCGCTCCAGCCCGCCCCGGCCGCAATTAATTTCAGAGCTGCCGGCACGCACCGGGGCTGTAAAACATTTTTTGGTTTAACCTTTCCCACCGGCCGCCCAATCAGGGCCGGCGGCGTGCGCGCGCGTCTGCCCGCCCGCCGGCCAATGGCGGCGCGTGCCCCACCCCGCCCCGCCCCGCGCCGCCCCGCCCCCGCCGCCGACAGGGCTCCCGCCGCGCAGGGATACCAGCGCAGGGGCGCATCACCGCGTCCGTGCGCTATCCTCTCCCCCCCCTCCTTCGCGCCCTCCCCCCGCCGCTGCGGGCACAAATCCCCGCAGGCCGGACATCCCGCGGCACGGGTCCGTCCGGCCGCTCGTGTCCCTAGATCCTCCGGCACACCAAAGTTGCCCCCTCCTCTAGCGGCGAAGGAGGCGGGGTGGGAGGCCGGGCGGGTGAGGCGGCCGCGGCACACCGGTGGCGGCGGAGGCACTACTTTGCGGATCTAGCCGAAGTCGCTCGGCGAGTTTATTTTCCCAGGCCCGGTTATTTCTGTTTGTTGTTTTACCGAGGGAGAAAACAAAACCATCGTCCGGAGAGGACGCGGGCGGCGGGGTGGGCCCGGGGTCCGGGTGCTGGACGCCGCTGTCCGCGGCCTGCCAGGGAAGACGGGTCTGCTCCGGCCCGCCCGGCCCGTGCCGTGCCCGCCGCGCTCCTCACTGTGAGTTGGAGGGCTCGGGAACGATCGGGCCCTCTCCTCCCCTGCGCTCTCCCTCGTGTCACGGGCGGCCGTAGCCGCGCTCCGCGCTCCCCGCTCAGCCCCTCAACGCTTCACCTGCGCGGTCTCTGGAGCCGCGCGGGGCCGTCGGGCTCGGTCCGTCCGCTCCTTCTCGCGGCTCCAGCCGGGGCCGCGCAGGCCGCGCTCCAGGCGTACCCAATAAATACTGACAGTGGTGACCCGTGAAATACATTGCGGGCCCTGCCCGCCCGGCCCGGCCCGCGTGGTCTGGGTTCCGCGGGGTTCAGCCTTGCTGGCGGATGGGAGAGGGCGGGCGGCTCACGGAGCAGGTGAAAGGGTCTGGCACGGCCGCTTTCCACCAGAACACGCGGTGGTAGAGGCTCGGGCTTACCGCCACGGTTTGTCGGGACCAAATTGTTGGGTATTTATCGTCCACGGAACATCATTTCTTGTTGTCAGCACGGAAACAAAAGTATCAACCGGGAAACAAAGCGAAATACATCGCACAGCTTCTTACTGGGAAAGTAGAGGGGGCAATGTAATGGTCAGAGAGCTTGCTGATCTCATTCAGACCGAAGCTGTAGGCAAACGTAGCGCCGCGTTAAAGCTACTTAGCGTTTGTGCCGGAGGAAAAGATGCTCCGTAGAAACAATACGTGAAGCTCAACCGCAGCTAAAACAATTTATCCTGAGGAAATTCAGGTTAGAGCTCAGTGCAGAGCTACGTGGTTGTGTGTAGATGTGCGTTTTATATACGTATTTGTGTATGTGTGTGTGTGAGGGAGGGAGAGCGAGTGTGAGAAAGAGAGAGTAAATAGCGAGAACAAGTACAATGGACCGGTAATAAACAATTGCAATTGGGAATGGCATGAACTTTGTGGATTGGATTAACCTCAAATGACCCTACCACAATTGTATTTATTTAATCAATTTCATAACAGGTTGCTACTGACGCACACACAAAAAAAGTTAACGATCAACAACCACTTTTTTTTTTTTTTTTTTTTTTTTTTTTTTTTTTTTTTTTTTTTTTTTTTTTTTTTTTTTTTTTTTTTTTTTTTTTTTTTTTTTTTTTTTTTTTTTTTTTTTTTTTTTTTTTTTTTTTTTTTTTTTTTTTTTTTTTTTTTTTTTTTTTTTTTTTTTAGAAATATAAGTTGGTTTGGTTTTTAAATCATGTCAATTTGTAATTATTTCGTGTCTCAACACCGAAGTCAATGCATGGGATTTCTTGAAGAAGAATGTGACGTGGAGGACATTAGATGACTCTACTATGGCAAGGGGTAAGGGGAAAGGTAAGCTTCCTGCATATTATTATGATTATGATGATCATTAACTAATATATGTCATTATGGTGCACTAGGATCCCATTAGGGTGGCTGGGCCCAGTGCGTTTTCCTACTCGGTCTAGCATGTAATGATTCCATGTAACCAGATTCTTGAGAAAGGACAGGTTACGTAAACATTTACTGATGTGGAGTAACTATACTATTTGTACTCTGATATGCAGGAAGGAAAGTGTTGATTAACACAGAAGAAAAAAAAAAGCGAAATTAGCTGATTGCATGCTCATAAGTGCAAGCTGTCATTGAACTGCTTTTAAAATAGACACAGCTGGGTGTTTGTGTTGAAAAATTTCTTGTGTTTTTGCTAATACTGAAATAAGCATGATTTTGTATACCAAACATTTTCAGATCATTAAAATTTGTAATCTGTGCTGGTTTTAAACACAAAGAAAAGAAACAGATTCACTTCGCTGTAAAATTTGCTGATATTATATTAACTCAATCAGGTCTGTACAAATGGTGTAGTATGCCTTATCAAATCTCTTTGATCCATTTAATACACAAAGTGCCAAACGTGTGTATTGTTTGTTAACATTGAACATTTTATTCAAATCCCAGCTCTGTAGCAAACTGGAGGAGTTCTTGTTTAATGTAACACTGACATTGCTTGTTGAAATTTTAATGCCTTGAGGTGTTTCTTAGGTCAAAGCTGAGTTACTTTGTTTTGTGATCAGGGATGAAAACGTAACAGGAAAGAAAATAGAACTTTCATCTTTTTGCGTTTTTGAGCAAAAGGCTAAAACACAAAGAAGCACACTTTAAAAACATCTGATGATCTAGATCCAATATTCGGTCATTTGTCATGGGTGCAGAATAAAGGTCTGTGCACAAACTTAAGATTTATATTTTTTTTAATGCCATGGATATACAGTTCTACCAAAAAAGGAAATGTTTTGTCCAATATGTAGTACATATCTTTCTAGGTCCATGAAGATTAATTCACTGTTTACAAGACAGAAAAGGATATGTAAGAGAAACCACGTCAATTATTATTTCTGCTGGACTTTAACTTTTGAGTTTTTGGTTTTGTTTTGTATTTTTTTTTCCCTTTCCTTCGGCAGAAAATTCACCGTTTATAAAACTGGAGATATTTACTTTGGAAATAGGAGAGTCTTGCTCTAACGCCAGGTCCTCCTGGAGCTCTGCCCTGACCACGACTCCCCTTCACTTTGGTGGTACCTCTTTATGCGTCGGGGTACTGCAGTGAGCTGCAGGCTTGACCCCTCAAACCTCAGGTCTGGCTAAACTCTAACTCTCTTAAGATAAGTCCGTCATGGCAGCATTTTCTAACGGGGAAGGTTTTGCGGGATGTCTGGAGAAGAAGCTTGTGCTTGGAACGGAGTCACACGGCCCCAACCGTGTGAAACACGGGTGGGTGTGCAGAGGGGAGCCGGCTCGCTGCAGGGTGTGGATGCTCCCTCACCTGTGCGCTCACCGGCGCTGCGGATCTGTCGAACCGAGCGGCGGGGATGGGCTGAGAGAATCCAACTCCGGGGTCAGGAGGGGGGTGAATAGCTGAGCGAAAACGTCCTGGCTGAAGTGCCATTTAACAACGGTATCCGTACAACTCTTGGGTATAACTCAGAGGGATAGTGTTTCGGCTGCACTTTTTTTTTTTTTTTTAATTCTTATTTTATTTTTAAATTAAAGGCCAAAGGAAAAACAGACCCTCTCAATTGTACACTCAGTGGATACAGCGTACTGCCTTTGCGCGTCCCCCTTCCCCCCGCGCCCCAGCTCCAGCGTTCAATCCCCCTTCACATGGGTATAGTGGCTCTGTACTCTCGGGCTCTTTCAAGGGGTTAAGCTGCTAAAATGTACTGACAGCTTAAGAAATGAATGAGGTTTTTTTCAGCCATGAAGAAAGGGTATTTAATAACCACGCTTCGATGGCATTATGCTTCTAGGAAACGAGTTGGGACACTTTGGTTTAACAATCAGTAATATCACATTCCTGACAGTAAATGCCTCGATGTACGCATATATAATTCTATTCCCACTTGACTATAAGCTTGCCTTATTTATTCCAGGTTACCTGGGCAATTAAGGTAAGGGCTGCTCAGCAGACACTGATACCCTGCTGCTAAGGCATGGCGAATGGGGACGGAGCAGCACGCTAACAAAGAGAAAGAGGTAGTCAAACATTTTGAAGAGGGGTGAATAGGACTGAAGGTGGATGGATAGATGAATGGAGGCAAAGAGGGAGAGGAAGAAACATTCAATGGTCCACATTTCTATCTGCATTTGTAGATTTAAGTTTAGGTGTCTGCCTCTAGCCAACTTCCAGTTAATCCTCAGCAGTTTCTAGTGATTAGAAGTTAGTCTGTTTAGCATGCTGTATCCTTCTTCCATGGGTTTTAGTTACAAGTTACACGATTAGGATTGCGAGAACAGTAGTGAACTAAACTTCCCAGTAAGAGGTCTTCACACCAGGGAAGTGTTACTTTGCTGCAGCAGCCCTGCCTCGTCAGTCATTAGGAAGCTGCAGGTTGTCAGAGGCTTCTCTTGCGCGCACACAAGCGCAGACACACACACACGCACACACACAAAACCACAGCACTAAAACTAAATTAAGAAGCCGATGATTAAGACAAGCGTCTACGAGGCCTGTCATTTCAGCATCCTTCCATCATAACATTGTGGCACCGAGAAATTTGCTTGAAAACCCTGGAAAAAATTGTCTATGGGAGAGCCTCATGTTTGAGGCTGTTAATATCAAATATAGACTGGGAACTGCCTCGGATGCAAGATAGTATTCCACAGGGGAAAGGAGCACTGCAGAGACCTTGGAGCTATCCGCACACTCCCGAAATTCTGGTAAGCATCTCTACTTCTTACTGCAGCAGGTATGCACTGTGTGACTGGAACTGGACCAGGTTTGAAATCCGCAGCTATGTACCTTTTGGGGACTTCAGGGAACTCACCCTAAAGTTAGGGGGTGACTAAGAGTTATTGGCACTCTGTGCCTCTTTAAGGAGAGCAGCTCATATTGTGCCGAAGACCTTCCAAGCACCCATTAAATACGAACATTTAAAGTTCCCCTCCCATGCATCCCCGTCCCTGTTTTTTTCGGTCTAGTGGTGTTGTGTCTCTCCCCTTTCCCCTCCCCCCCTTTTAGCTCTCTAGTCTTCCCTCCCCCTACCCTATTCAGAACTAATTGCTCAGTTACTTAAATGTTTCAAGAAGAGCTAAATTTCTCCATCCGATGATCTTTTGAGAAGCTGCACTGTACCATAAAGAACAGCCAGCGGGGTACTGTATACCTTAGGGGAGCCAGCGCAACTAGGGAAGAGATAGCGTTAAAACAATGACATTAACAAACTACGTGCACAGAGTTTTCCTCTTGATGAACTTCGGGGAGTTTCTTGGGCGGGCAGAGATTGAACGGAGAACGTGGAAATGGGAAACAATGGTTGTAGGGTCCAGAAAGCTTTGCTAATGTCGTAAGCGAAAAACAAGACAGAATAGTGACAGAAAGAGATCCGAGTAAACATTGGAGTATACATTTCCCACGGCGGCTACGCTGGGTGGAGAGGTCTGAATTAAATCACCTTTATTAAAACGGAAGATTTTATTTATTTAGTCCTGTAGATGTAGAATGTCATCGACAGAAAGTCTATGTAGGGAGTGTAGAGCATCCACTAGATTTATCGTGTTCAGCTGCTACTGCCAAAATTTTTCAGAACAGAATATTTTTATACTCGCTGCCAACTTTACGACGTGCAGTTTTTTAGATCCTAAATGTCGCTTTTATTTTATATGCCAGTGTGCAAAAGAGAGCCGTCACACCTGCCTAGGCAATAGATGACCCCGTGTAATGAAAGTTCCCCCTAATTTAGAAATCAAACAAAAAATTAAAATATCCATTAAGAATTATCCACAGAGTTATGCAGAAGATTATAATAAAATGCAAGGAAGAAATGGACAAGTCAAAAACCTTATTCTCTTATCGAGGTTTAAATACATAATTTAATTTTCTGACGCGTTTACTATTAAAACATTCTTTTGTCGGCGTTATGATATTGAATTAAAGAATAGCGAAATAAAATACGAGGGGAAAAAAAGACGTGAAGGAAAAAAACCATAAGTAGTGCTGGAAGAAGACTTCTAGCTACTTTTTGACTCCTAAGAAACTGTTACTGGAATATTTTCATGGTGTGCTTCTAAAGCTCTTTAGCCTCTTATAAAGGTAAACTTTGGCAAATGACACATGTATCTGGTTTTGCAGTTTTTCGGTGACTCGAAAGAAAAGACGCCCTCTCCCCCGCCCACCTGGCTTCCACCCCTTCCCCAGCAGAAGGACAGATACGGTCTCTCTTTCTCCCAGCTCTGTTTCCACCCCAGCGCTTAGCAAAAGGCATCCGGGCGCGGGGGGGCGCCGGTGGCCGAGGATGCCGATCCATCCGTCTGTCCCTCCTCCCTACCTGGCCGTGTAGCCCCCGTCGCTACCCGCTCGGTGCCACTCCGTCCCATCGTCGCCCTCTCCCCGCACCACATCTCCACCGCACCCCTCGGGTCGGCGAGGTCTCGGACTCGGCCAGATCACCTACGGAGCCAATTTTTAGGGCCTACAAAAGCACACCATCCTCCCCTGTCCTCCTATTCACCCTCCCCCCCTACCTCCGCCCCCACCCCGCCCCGGGGTCCCCTTGTAACCATAGCAAAATGCCCGGTGTAGCACGAAAGCCATAAATAACTGTACACCCTTCTAGAAGAAAGCGTTCGGCAGTCTCAGACTAAAGGCGGTGTTGGCTTTCCCCGTGCGGGGCTCAGGCGTGAGGACGTGCCGGAGCGAGGTGCCGGTTCTCACTCGCGGCGAAATCCGCGCTTGGCGGGTGTTGGGATGACGGGCCTGGCTCTAGCGCCAAAGAGGCTGCCCGCGAAGCAGACCCTGTTCTCCTGGCACGAGTAGGGCTCGCAGGAGCTGCCTCTTTATGTAGGTTGTTCTCAACACTTTTTATATCGGTCAGGGTGGTCTCCATGTTTTCTTTCTTTCGTTTATTCTTTCTTTCTTTAGTGGAGCGAGGGAGGAGTGATGGCAAGGACCTTGTTGGATGATTATAACCG